AAGTACAGATCTGTGATTCAACAGTCTTGCACAATTCACAGCGCTCACCATAGCACATACCCTCCCCAATGTCTGTCACCCAGCCACCCCATCCCTCCCACCCCCCACCACTCCAGCAACACTCAGTTTGTTTCCCGAGGTTAAAAATTCCTCATATCAGCGAGGTCATATGATACATGCCTTTCTCTGATTGACTTATTTCACTCAGCATAACACCCTCCAGTTCCATCCACATCGTTGCAAATGGCAAGATCTCATTCCTTTTGATGGCTGCATAATATTCCATTGTGTATATATACCACATCTTCTTTATCCATTCATCTGTTGATGGACATCTTGGCTCTTTCCACAGTTTGGCTATTGTGGACATTGCTGCTATAAACATTGGGGTGCACATACCCCTTCGGATCCCTACATTTGTATCTTTGGGGTAAATACCCAGTAGTGCAATTGCTGGATCGTATGGTAGCTCTATTTTCAACTGTTTGAGGAACCTCCATACTGTTTTCCAGAGTAGTTGCACCAGCTTGCATTCCCACCAACAGTGTAGGAGGGTTCCCCTTTCTCCACATCCCCGCCAACATCTGTCGTTTCCTGACTTGTTAATTCTAGCCATTCTGACTGGTGTGAGGTGGTGTCTCATTGAGGTTTTGATTTGGATTTCCCTGATGCCGAGCGATGTTGAGCACTTTTTCATGTGTCTGTTGGCCATTTGGGTGTAAGAAGATTCAATATTATAAAGATGTTAATGTAGACACAAATTGAACTGTTGATGCAGTGCAATTCTAATCCAAATCTTAGAAGGTTTTGTTGGTTGGTTGGTGGCAGTTGCCAAGTTGATTCTAAAATACATGAAAGTACAAATCAAAAATAGTTAAGAAATTCCTAAAGAAAAAGAATTAACGTGGGAGCACTCGCCTTACTAAATAGTAAGACATTGCAAAGCTGTAATACTTAAGATTGTGTGGACTTGGCGCAGGGCTATAGATAAAACGACCAGTGTAGCAGGAGAGAGATCTCAGAAACAGTCCCAGCATGTACATCTGAGGTCACACTGGAGACCTGTGGAGAAACAAACAGTGCCATCACTGGGTGTCCATGTGGGAAAAAGAGGGTCCATACCATGCACACACAAAAAATTCCAGACCAAAAAAAAAAAAAGTTAAAAAAAAATTCCAGACAGATTGAGGACTCATGTGTGAAGAACAAAACTTTAAATATTTGAGAAGATGAGGGGCGCCTGGGTGGCTCTGCTGGTTAAGCGACTGCCTTCGGCTCAGGTCAGGATCCTGGAGTCCCGGGATCGAGTCCCGCATCAGGCTCCCTGCTCGGCGGGGGGGGGGGTCTGCTTCTCCCTCTGACCCTCCCCTCTCTCATGCTCTCTCTCTCTCTCTCATTCTCTCTCTCAAATAAATAAATAAATAAAATCTTAAAAAAACACAAAACTTTAAATACTTGAGAAGATGATACAGCAGAATAAATTGCTGATGTGGGTCTAGGGAAAGGTTTCTTAAACAAGACACAAAGAGCCCTAACGTATAATATTAATACATTTTGTTTCATTAAAACTAAAATTAAGACTTCTGCTTATTTGAAAACATCATAAAGAGATTAAAATAGAAAACAGCGTAGAAGATATTCACAATACATATAGCGAACAATATTCAGAATGTGTTAAGAATTTCTACGTCTCAATTAAAAAAAAAAAAAAGCAAGCAACCCAATAGGAAAAAAGGACAAAAACCATAAGCATCAACTCATACAGGCAATAAACACATGGGAAAATATTTCCTCAACCTTACTAGCAATTAGGGAAATTCCACTTAGCAATGAGATATCATTTTATATCCATTGGATTGGCCACAAATTATGGCTGACGGTAGTTAAGTGTTGGAGAGGACATACGTGAGTCAGCAGGGTCACCTTACATTGCTGGTATGAGTGTAAATTGGGCCAACCATCTTGGAAAACAATTTAGCATTATCTTCTAGAGCGACGCATATCCTAACACATTCTCTGACTGAGCAGTCCTATTCCTAAGCACGTGCACCCTAGAGAACCTCTAGCAGATAGCTTAGGCATACATACCTATGGATAAACTTGTTAAAGAGCGCGAGAATAAGAGGGTGGAACGTGTGGCAGCTCCAGGGCTGTAAGTTAGATGACATAAATAAATAAATTTCCTAAATGTTCCTTTCAAATTAAATAACTTAAAATGGAAATTTTTCACTGGGGAAATTTATATTAATAGATATATTAGCTACATGTGGTAGAAATGTTGTCAGCCAATCTCAAAGATTATTGATTGGGTAATTTGACTTGCAGGAGGCAGTGGTTAATGAAATGCATTTCATTTAGATAAAAATTGAAAAACTCTTGCACACAAGCCGTTTCTTTAGGGGTTAAGAATATGATAAACATGACATTCTGTTTCAAAAACTTTTAGGAAAATAAAAACATTCTATGGACGATCTATTTAATGAAAAACCTGCAAATCCAACACAGATAATCTGAAAATAAAACTGCCAAATAAGGGCATGAAACTATTAAAGCCTTTTTGTCATTTTTCATCAAGCACAGTGACCTCTTTGGTATATAAATTGTAGATACATTTTTTCCAGAATGAGGGCATTATAACGCTCTCCAAGAAATTCTTGAACTTTTTTGCTCAGCTGAGAAGATATTTAAATGGCAAAAACCTAATTCAAACTTATACTCTTCAGCATACACATCATACCGCGGCTGGGAAGCTTTCAGTGAGCATCAATAGTAATGAAAAATAATTCAAAGAAAACGCAGCAGGAACTAGACAAAATTCCTGTTCAAAAGACTTTGTAGGATGTTGCATCCGTATCAAGTCATATTATGCAGGTCGCAGAAACGATGACATATTTGCACTGGCAGACCTCTTGCTTAACAGTTCAACAAACCAGTGGTTTGTAGCAGGCCACACTTGGAAAATGTGTGATACATAAATGAAATAGTACTTGATTTTTGTTGTTGTTGTTGTTGTTGTTGTTGTTCTGTTAGTTTCACAAGAGAAGAGGTTTTGAAATGTAGTGAAGCATGTTTAAACATCCTTTTCCAAATCTGCAACAGAACATCAAGACGTTTTTCCCAGAGGGAAAAGTAACCAAGTAATTTAGAAATCCAACCATCACTATCGCCTAGGATGAAACTTTAAAACTACTCAGAAGAAATTTTCAACACCCCAGGTTTTGAGCTTGAGGGGCAGGCCCATGAATAATTGAGGGCAATCATCAGCAGAGTGAAAAAAATCTCTCCATGATTTTGGAGTCCTCAGTCAATCCGAATAACCAGAACTATCTGCCAGAGTTTCCAGAACTTGCTGCAACTTCAGATGTCCTTTAACTGAGAGTTAGGGTTTTCTAACTTCATAAAAATAAAGAGTAAAAATAGAAAGTGACCCGTTGAGAAACTACATGTGTTTCATGTTGTCACAATCTTGGATATGCAGCCCATGGTGTAAGACTGCAAATGAATTTCCTCTCCAAGATACAAAACTATTATTACCATCATTATTATTAACTTTAAAGAATTAAATAGTTATTTACAAAATGGTGATGGGTCCTTTAAAAGTTTACCTAAAGTTTATGGGTCTGCATTAAGTGACCCAGAGAGGCTGAAGATTTGAGGTCCTCTGTTCACACAGTCTGCTGGGCCCCTGCAAGATTCTGAGCCTTTATCATTATCAAGTTATGCTAGATCGTGCCTGTTAAGAGTGAATGTTTCTGGTGGCCTCCACGTGGCTTCTTTTCAGGCAGGAATTAAAGAGGAATTGGGAGAGAGCCGGAGTCTTGTACATTACCCTCAGCATCTCCACTCTCAAAGAGCAGCCCCTGGCTTTGCCCTAATCACCGCTTCTGCTTCAGTCCCCTATCAGGCAGCACAAGGTCCAGGCTGAGAAACGCATACTTGGGCACAGCTCACAATCCTGGAGTTGGAGGGATCTCGGTTGGAGTCCTGCCCGGCCACTTTCCAGATGTGTGGCTATAGGGAAGTGACTTTCCCACTCTGAGCCACCATGTTCACATGGGGAAAGCTCATGTAATTCCTTCATCCTGGCGGGGTGATTGTGCATCGTGAACGAGAAAACACATGTGAGAGTGTTTTGACACCTGCGATGTGTACCAGACTGAAGGGTCAACTCCCAAATCTCCCACTGCTCCAAATCTTTCCCATTCTGTTCTTCTCCAGCAGAAGCCAACCATTGCTCGGTGTTAAACGTGACAGATTATTGTGAGGCATGCAGGACGTCAGGGGAATCTCGAGGGGAAAGAGACGGTGACTCCTTCCTGAGTCAGGCTTCACTTCTAACCAGCCATCTTTCCTTCCATCAGCCATTCACCTACTCATCCAATAAATATCTTTCACGCAACTGAGCCAGCAAGCAACCTGTGAGCCCTCTGATTCCATGGAGTTACATCTTACCACGATGTTGCCAACACTTCTCTCGGGTACTGGCATTTGTGCTGAAACCAAAGCTGCTAACGTGGCCAGAGTGCACATCCCATCTAGCCCCGTGGTTTGGCAGAGCCAGTCTGGTGGCTTCTCTTGGACCTGCAAGCTGAAAGGCTAAGGGAAACTGAGCCCTAGAAAACCACACCAGGAGTGTCAGAATGCTCACGGGGTTTGGAAAAACCAAACCAGGTTAGTCGTGGGCTTCCTCCATCCAGTGTGACAAAGTCGTGTAGACACAGGGCGGGTGCTGAAGCGGTAGATAGACCATGGCCACATGGACAGGGCTTTGTGGTCTAGCAAAAGGGATGTCTTCTTGGCCAGGCCTGGGGAAAGCCAGGCTTCCAGAAGAGCCCTGCCAAGTTTAGGAAACAAACAGGCTTTTCATCCTGGCTCCTCCTAGGTCTCCATGTCTAGACGTTTCCTTGGTGACACCATGGTAATTATGATGCCACAATGGAACATTCTTCCCAAGGTGGTAGAAGGAATCCCTCTGTTGAGCTCTGCTGTGTAAGGTCAGAGTGAGTTCACTTCTCCTTTGGCAGTAGCAGTTCACAGAAGACTCTGAGAGCCATCCAGACAAGAAACATCCAGTGTCATGAGTGGAACCTGGTGACTGAGAATGGCTATTGTGCATTGTTTGAGGCAAGGGTGGGCCTGGTGGTATGGCAGATGATGAGACACACGTGGGCTTTGAACTCAGACTCCCATTCAAATTCCAGCTCTACCACTTGGCAGTCGTGTGACCTTGGGCAGGCTTCTCAGTGTCCAAATGTCAGTTTCTGGATCTGTAAAATGGGGAGAGTGATCCTGTCTACCTCACAGGGTTATTGTGCAAATTAACTGAGCTAAATGTTGGGCAGTTACTATGTAAAAGTACAAGCTCTCAGTAGTTAAAAGAAATCCCAGCATTATTTAAGCCCTTCTGAGGGTAGTAGGATGGGCAAAAGTGGGGGTGAGCTTGCACTAAACCCTGCTTTTCCTTTCAGCAGCATTTTATGGCTACAGAGTTAAGAAAAGGGTCGAATTCCATGAGTCAAAAAACAACCCTTTTCTGAACCCCAAGCTCTGGGAAGCCCGGGGACCCTGGCTGGATCGAAGAGAAAACTGACAAGGTTGGGCTACCTCCTCTCCGTGGGCCACCTTACCAATCCTAAGAATATCAGCGCTGGACAGCTGATCCCAGAGCTCTTCACTGCACGGAACCAAGCAATTGGGATGTGACAGGTCTGTTTCCCACGTCTTGGAAGCTTCATCAGGGGAAAGGAAAGAGGCAGGGCATCTGATGCTGGGGGTGGGGGAGGGAGTCACCACTTTGGGGAGGAGAGGAAAAGCCTGTGCCTTTGGATGTTGTGTTTTCACAGCTGCCCATGGTGTCCACTGCGGTTCGCTTTGGGGATGGCAGAGATGCTAGGGATGCTCTTAGTCCTGCTCTGTGTCTCTCACTCTTCTGCCAGTGAGTGTGCTTCTTTCTTCCATAAGGACTTCAGCGGCTCGTATCACATGGCAGGGGGAATTGTCCAGGAAAAGGCCCTTGATGTCCAGAGAGGGACCCAGGGGGAAGATGACTCACAGTGCTCTGCATGGGTGGTGGGAATCAGGCAAAGAAGGGGACCATGGGGCATGGATGTAGGCGACTGGCTTCAGCAGTCTGATGTCAGCTGATCCTCCAGCAAGAGTGTCTTTAGGAAGATAAGTCTTAGGCTACTGAAAGGCCTGTTCAGAATGCCCCCCTGCTCTTCCTGGGGCTCATCCCCCAAGCACCATCAGGTGGGGGATGTCCTCCCCATGCCTGGGGGGCGGGCGGCCTGCGGTGCATCTGGCACACTTGGGAACCATGCCCTCCCTGTTTCTACTTCAGCATTGTTGTTCCAATGAAACCTTTTCTCTTTAAACCAAAAGAGTGTATTGCTAAACTGACCCTCAGTTGCAGGGCTGGACCCAGGAGCAAGGAGGTACTGCTGGGGCCTCAGTCCTTCCCTAACCTCCAGGTTGTCCAGGACTAAGATTCCAGCCTGGAAAGGGACAGGTGGAGAGGGGGCACCTGACTCAAGCAAGCTCTGTCATATCTGGCTGCCACCCCAGCTGGCTCTGTCCTATCTTCCCAGAGTTAGATGGGAGACATGACAGAGCATCCAATTCCCTCCACCCCCCCCCACACACACATCAAGGGGAGAACTCCCTACCTTCCTAGCCTACTCCACCTCCTTGCAGCCCCAAAGAGACCAAGGGATGCGCACAAAACACAAAGCACCTCTCCTCCCTCTTTAAAAGCCTCAGGCAAGTGACCCAGGGCAAACATTTCATCTCTGGGTCAGATTTCCTCATTATATACAAGGGTTTTATAATGTCAAATAAACTAGCCAACTAGAGCTTTGAGAAAGCAAAAGTCATCACCCACCTGTAGGTTCTTGTTGGGTTGGTAAGATTCATACCTTGTTCACTAGACATTGCAATGTCCCATGAATTGAATAAATGGCTGAAAACGTAGCCACCAATGATCTGACCCATAGTAGGCTAGTGGTGCCCACCACGTCACACCATCACCCAGGGCCACCGATTTAGAAACAAGTACTGAGTACTTGTGGTTTGGGATTTATAAACAGCAACCAGAGTAGTGGTTTACATTAAAAAAAAAAAAAATCCTGCCTTGGGTTTAGTATTATCAGTCATGAGGATACAATTTGCAAAGCACCTTCCCATAACCTCACCTCATGTGATCTTTACAACTCCAAGAGGTGTGTTACCACACATTTCAAAAGAGGAAACTGAGTGGCTGCCTTCAGCTCAGGTCATGATCCCAGGGTCCTGGGATCGAGCCCCGCATCGGGCTCTCTCTCTCTGCCCGCCTCTCTGCTTACTTGTACTCTCTCTCTATCTCTCTGTCAAATAAATAAATAAACTCTTTAAAAAAGGGGGGGGCGGAAACTGAGGCCCAGATAAGTGAAGTGGCTTGTCCCAGGTCTCAGAGCACAGGGGCCAACAGTATGTGGGACACTGCATCCAGGGCTCTCCCAAAACACTAGTGGCTCTCAATCCTGAACACACATTAGAAACTACCTGGGGAGGCTGTTTCAAATGCCAGTGCCCAGGCCCCATCTGCAGGGGCCTGGGAAGTGCTGGGCAGCACATGAATGAAACATGCAAGCAGGTTGAGAACCCCTGCACTCCACTCTGCATACTGAGGATGAGGCAGGCACCTCTAGGTCCAATAAGGAGGCTGGGCTCGGGGACTCTTCGGACAGAGCATATGGCATGGGAGGGAAGACACAGGGCAGGAAGGAAGTCAGCAGCCAAGGAGAGCAAAACACTCCATGTGTATGCCATCCCGTAATGGTGCCTGGAAAGTAGGAGGCTTGGCTCACCCAGCCTAGGGCTTTGTGCTTCAAGGGTCCTGCCTGCTATATCATGGTTACACTCTCCATGATTCTAGGAATATGGACCGCTTTTTTAAATACAGGGCAATACAGCATCTCGGGTGAAACCAGACCTGGCAGGGGGAGAATATTATTTAAAACTTTAGTCAACATTTAACTCTCATTTGAAACAAAGTCCAGACTCCCCAAGAGACTGCCCGGTTGGAGGCAACTCACTTGAGGGCTTGGAGTCAAAGGCCAAGCTGGCCTGAATGGGTCAGATACAGCCTCCATCTGGTGGGGCCTTTTAACCCCTTGATGACAAGACCTCAGGAAGTGCTTGATATGGCAAAACACTTTTGTTCATTCACCAGGTGATTTAGTGAGCACTTACTGTGGGCCAGGCACTGTAGTAGCCTCTAGGGGTACACTGGCAAGCAAAGCAGACATGCGGGAGACTCGCATGCCAACTGCTCAGGAAGGGAACAGCAAGGGCAAATCCGAGGATGTGAAATGTGGCTAGAACAGAGACTATGAGGGGTTGAAGGTGTATGGAGTTTGAATTCCAGCCTTGTATCCTACCAGCTGTGTAACTTGGACAGTGCTTACCAGCTCTAGAACTCGATTTTCTCATCTGTAAATGGAGAATGACAGTGTCCACCTCCAGTTGTGTTGGAGGAATTATATGAAGTAGTATATATCAGCAGTGTTCAAACTTTTTGGTCTCCAGACCCCTTTATACTCTTAAAAATTATTGAGGACCCCCCAAAGAATTTTTGTTATGAGGCTGTATCTTCCCATCTTTACCATATTAGCAATTAAAAACTGGAAAATTATAAAACACAAGAATACACAGGCTCACACGTGTTATTAGCCGTGAGTGATGACATCATGCAGCCTCTGCGAAAGTCCACTGCACACCAGTGAGAGAATGAGGGTGAGAAAAACAAATACTGTCTTAGTGTTCTTATGAGAACAGTTTAAATTTTGCAGACCCTGGAAAGGGTCTTGACTTCCAGAGGTGCCAGACCATGTTGAGAACCACTGATGTACATAAAAGTTTTCAGATACTGACTCAAGTGTGCTGCTAAGTGCCCAACAGAGGAGAGTGATTATCGATAGTCTAAGGTTATTTTTAGACTCAAAGATGTCATCAACCATCTTATATGGCGAAGAAGACCCACTAGGAAGAGAAACGAAGGGGCGGCGGCAGAGTTAGTGGCGACCAAGATGGAGAGCCAGAAGGAGTGGGGAACCAGCAGGAAAGGGGGTCCTGAGGTCTGATCTTTGCCCCAATGGTGAGGCCCCACACACCTTCCCTGCAGGTTGTGGCATTCAGAAAACCAACGTTATGGAAATTTCTGAGGAAGGTTTGGTCAACGACAAGGAATTCCCATGGGTGGTGTCGCTGCAGGATTCCCAGTACACCCACCTGGCTTTTGGCAGCATCCTTAGTGAGTTCTGGATCATCAGCATCGCATCCGTCTTGCAGAACAGGCCAGTACCCCTGCCTTTGGGACTTACCCAGTCCCCTGGGGGTAGGGGTGGAGGGACCTTTTCCTGCTCATCTTGGGGAGGCCTGGAAGGTGGATTCCTCGTAACAGGGCAACAGGGCTTTTTACTGGCTCGGCGCTTGCTCTGCCAGGACTCTTGGGGTCTTAAAATCACCAGTTGCCAAAGTCATGCTGTCCAATGTGTTCTCTGCGTTGGGGACTACAAGGTGAAATGATTGTTCCTCCATCCTCCGCAGGAAGGATATCCATTCCCATTTTAGTGCAATCACAGGTACTGACTCCTGATACTAGAGGTCCTTACTCTAGTCTTGTTAAGTGAATTGATAGGAGCCTGTACCTTAAAATACTTAATCTCAAGCCTTAACAATGTGTCTGCCACAAATATAGGTACACAGAGAAAAGACTTGAAGGAAATACGCAAATACTTTAAGAGCTCTTATCTCTGGATGCTCAGAATGCACATGATTTCTATTTTCATCTTTGAACTTCTCTATTCCTCAAATTCTATACAGTAAATATGCATTCTTGTAAACCAGGGAAAAAAACCCAAAAATTATTAAAGGAATAATTTTTTTGTAAAACATCTTACTTTTTGACCCAATGATTTCACTTTTGAGAATCAACATTAAGGAAATAACTTCAACCACTGGAAAAGTTTTATGCACAAAGTTCATAGGACGGTTTGTTACACACAAAACACTGGAAATGTAATGTCCAATTATCATGGATAAATAAATTATAGTTACTCTTTCATATATAGCATATAATACATAGTATATAATATGTATAGTTACATATATATATATATACTGTTTACATGCCTTATACGTGTATAAATGTATATACACTAAGTATGGGGGAGAGATTATAATTACTATTCTTGGCTAAATAATAGTATAAACCCTTAATGGAATATTGTACAGCTGCTGAATTTTTCACACCTATGATTTATATTATTTGAAAATACATGCATTTATTTTTTGAAAATACATGCATTTAAGTGAAAATACATATACATAGTATAATGTTCAGGAGGAAGCAAAGGGTATACAAGGAAAAGCAACTCCTTCTTTCCCCTGGCCTTCAGAGACTAACTCCCTCCCTTAAGCCATAGTCACGTCATCAGTTTCTTGAATATTCTTCCTTAATTAATGCATTTATGGATATCTATATACCTATAGGTCTATCTATATTGATTCTTACATCTATTGACAGAGAAAGAATTTTCCTTCCCCCTGTATTAATCTGTTAGAACTGCCATAACAAAATGCCACAGACAGGGTGGCTTAGACAAGAGATATTTATTTCTTACCATTTGGGAGGCCAGAAGTCCAAGATCAAGTCCAAGATCAGCAGGACTGGTTTCTCCTGAAGATTCTCTCTTTGGCTTGCAGACCACTGCCTTCTCGCTGTGTCTTCACATGGCCCTTCCTCAGTGCGTGTACTCCTGGGGTCTCTGCTTCCTCTTATAAGGACACCAGACCTATTGGATTAGAGCCCCACACTTAGGAGCCCATTTAAACTTAATTACCTCCTTAAAGGCTCTCTGTCCAAATACGGCCACCTTTGGGGCTAGGGCTTCACCTACAAATTTGGCAGGACACAGTTCAGTCTATAACAACCCCAATACAGCTGGTAGCACACCAACACAATGTTACACTTGTAGCCTTTTTCACTCTATCAGGAATGTTGAGCCATCTTTTCTGGCCGTTACCCGGAGAGCTCCCACATTTATCAGCTGCGCAGTATCCCAAGATGGATCTACTATAATTGCAGAGTCCTCTATTAATGGAAATTTGGGTTGCTTCCGATCTTTTATTAGTACCAAAAAAATGCTGCCGTCGATATACTTGTACATATGTTATTTCACACACATGCAATATACTGTAGCATGAATAACACAGGAGTGGAAAGACTGGGCCAAATATTGGTAGCTGTTGCCAACGAGCCTTCCAGAAAGGTTCTGCTTTCCATGGAGTGTTTTCATTATTGCTATTTTCTATCTGGTTTGTTTTGGTTTTGATTTTCCCTTTGCCTCAGGGTTTTATTAAAGACAGAGTTTTTAAATACCCAGGTAGAGGGGTGTTTTGTCTGTTTTGTCTTCTGGCATTATTGAATTTTGAGTTATACTACATGGTGATCTGATCTATTTAGGAATTTGTTGGGGTTGTCCTTGTGGTCTACTATATGTGATCCATGTGAATATTTTCTGCAGTTAAAATTCAAATTTCATTCTCTGTCTTTGGTGTACAATTTAATATATAATATTGGGGAGGTAATCTCCTTGATCTGTCCTAGGCTGCTAAAGGTAAGTGAAAATCTATCATGAACAAGCATCTGGCTTTTTCTATTTCCTGGAGTGTTCCCTTTGTGAACATTATGTCATGTGTTATAGATGTTTATGACTATGATGTTTTCACTGTAGACTGAATTCTTTCTCATCACTAACAGCCTGTCTTACTTCGTGCTCTTCTCTTCTGAACTGATGGTAGGAATGAAACTCCTGCTTCTTGTTTTTATTTCAGGTTATGTTTTCTGCTTTTGTTGCTTCTGGTTTTCTTTTCACTCTGTCACCTTTGTTTTGTTTTGTATGTCTCTTCTGACAAATTTGGGAAGTTTGAGTTTTTGTTCTGGCCTTCATCTTAAGAGTTATAATTTCATGGAAGACGACTACATCCTCAGTTTCTCTCTGGACTGTCCTCTTAGACTCTGCTGTGGTTCCTTGGGTGGTTCCCAAGACGAGAAAAGGAAAACACCCAAAATGAACTCCATCATTATTAAAATCGGAATTTCTCTGAAGAGTATTTACAGAGTAGCTAATACGAAAAGATGTTTATGTAAAAATGTTAAGTGCTAAAATCAAGAGTCAAGATTACATTTTGGGCTTAACAATGACTACGTAAAAAAAAAACAAACATGGAAAAAGCATGAAAAAAGATAATCAGCCATAACTTAACAGATTATCTTTGGGTGGTGGGACAAATGAGGTTCAGATAGAGGATTCCCAAGATGCTGTGGGCCCACAAAGGAGGACACAAGCCTAGGGGTTCAGAAAAGATTTCCTAGGCACTGGGTCCAAAGGGGTCAGTAAAAATTAGCCCAGAAAAAATGAGTTGGATGAGTATTCCAAGCAAAAAATAAATAAATAAATATGGAAACAGGGAAGGGTGACTCTTCCATCGCGCCTAGGTTTCTCAAGATTCCCTTGCTCACTCTCTCTCTCTAGGAAGGACGTCATTGTTATAGTTGGCATAGCTAAGATGGATGCCAAAGTGATTGCTCATGAAGAGTATCCAGTCAACACCATCATCATCCATGAGGATTTTGATAATAAAACCATGACAAATAACATAGCCCTCCTGAGGACAGACACGGCGATAGGGTTCAACAACCTGATCCAGCCCATCTGCTTCCTCGACAGAAAGCTGAACATGCCCCCAGCCTTGCGGAACTGCTGGGTGGCAGGATGGAATCCCACATCTGCAGTTAATGCCTGCCTTCTCCTAGAGGAGGCTGTGTGTGTGCTGGCGGAGGGGGTGACTTGGATGAACCATTCTAGGGCTTATCTTAATAATTCAGGGTGCTCAAGGTTCTGGAGTTGGGCTGGAAACTTCATGTAATCAGTCAAGATTTGTAATGCTTGCCTTTTTTGTGGCCATTCTTACATTTGGTCCCTTTTCTTCTAGTCCTACACCAAAATTAGAAGTACGTAGGCAGCAAAGAGCCTGAAATGAGTACAGTTATGGGGGGGGAGGGCAGGGGATATTATTCCCTGAACTGGAGCTGATTATCCTGTTGGCTAAGCCATCCTTGTTTTCTTTTATTCTTGGGAAATGAACAAGGAAATGTATTCTCCGTAGATGTGGAAGAAGGGTGGACTATGTTCTTGATTTTCACATTCAAGTTCAAAGCAAAGGTAGTTTTCAGAAAAACTCAGACACAGGTTCTAATTTCTATAAGGAAAAGGGGTTTATGAGAGCATTTTCTACTCGTTCCCATCTGGATATGTGAGCTGTAGTTGAGTTGACATATAGGCAATGTATTCTTGTTAATAATTCTTGGCTCTCTGTTGCATGGTCCAGACAGGAAATCACATGACGATGAGTATCCTGAGGAAAATCTCCGTGAAAGACATCGACCTGTGTCCCTTACACAAAATCGAGAAAACAGGATGTGGCAATCACATAGAGCAGGAAACCGATGCTGTCTGCTTGGTAAGAACATGATGGAATAAAAGCTAAAGGCTGAGAGTAAGCAGTGGTCACTTCAAGGGAGGTGGGAGAAGGGAGACTCTCCCTCATTGCGTGCTGAACTCCATGAGGGACTGGCAGGGACTGGCACTTGGGATTCAAGGCTGTCTCCAGCACTTGGCAGACAGCAGATGCTCAATAAAAATCCACTGAATGGACTAAACAGTCACTATTTTCAATGTGACATGATTAAGCATGTCTAAGTCATAGGTGTTTCTCACTGGCTAAAAGTTTGAAAGTGTGAGTCCAAACCATGCATGCAGATATACTTCGGGTATGTCCACAGGGTGGGGTCATTGTATTCAGCTTCTATGGAACCTGGACTCTGATGCTATTGCTCATCAGTTATTGAAGTTTTTTTCTGTAAGAAGCCCTGCCCTTCATCCGGATGAGGGCTGTATAGATGTGGTTGTTCTACTGCCTCAGCAAAATGGATGGAATTCACAAACCCTTGGCCCAGGCTCCCTCATGTCCATACCCAGAGGAGGTGTGGTTTACAGAGGTCACACAGTTAATGTTACAGTAAGGATGAGAACATAGGTCCACCAGATTTCCAGGCAGTTTCTTTCTTCCACTCCAAAATTTCTAAGGTGCTGATCATCTATTCTCCTTCAAGTAACTTTCAGGATTCCCTGGTGGGGAAATTTTTTTTCCAGATGATCTAAGGAAAGCATTTTATTTTATTTTATTTTATTTTATTTTATTTTATTTTATTTTATTATTTATTTGAGAGAGAGAGAATGAGAGAGAGAGCATGAGAGGGAAGAGGGTCAGAGGGAGAAGCAGACCCCCCACTGAGCAGGAAGCCCGATGTGGGACTCGATCCTGGGACTCCAGGATCATGACCTGAGCCGAAGGCAGTTGCTTAACCAACTGAGCCACCCAGGCGCCCTAAGGAAAGCATTTTAGAGAGAGGGGACAATTCTTTCTAAAAGTAATTTTATTGCAAATGTGTGAAGGACTGCCTTTCATTAGGCAGTAAGTTTGCCTTTCCAAAGTTGGTTCAACATTTATTGAGTGCCTACTTTGTTGTTTTTTAAGATTTATTTACTTATTTGAGAGAGAGAGAGTGAGCAAGAGAGCGAGCGAGCGAGCGAGCATAAGTGGGGGCGGGGGAGGGGGGAGAGGCAGAGGAAGCAGCAGACTCCCCGCTGAGCAAGGAGCCTGACTCAGGGCTCGATCCCAAGACCCTGGGATCTTAACACTTAACAGACTGAGCCACCCACACACCCCTGAGTGCCTACTTTGTACTGGACTCTCTACCAGGTGGAAGACTAACAACTTTTTAAAGTAGATAATGTGTTAAAATACAGTAGAAAACATAGCTATTTATCAAAATCCTATTAGCCATTCCATCGATCCAGCACCTTATTTCATCAAACCTAAGATGCTGTCAGTTGTAGAATGCACCATTATTTAATGGAATATCAAGAGAGAAAATGCTGCCTCCAACCAATTAAAAGACACATCTCATTCCAAAGATGTTCATTTTTCAAGAGCATCTTAGATTCAAAGGAATATGGTAAGCTGCTCATACTCTAAATGATTACCTCTTTAAATCTAACTACAAAGTTCAGATTGGTTTTTATCTATTGGTTTTTACCTGGAGCACCCCTGCAGGCAGTCCTTTGTTTTTGAACTGTGCTTGCAAACTGGATCAGACCAACAGTGACTTGTCTACCTAGGATCCTTTCCTCTCTCAGAAAAGTGTTCTAGTGTCCAGAGATCCTCAAAGTCATTCAAATATGTAGATGGTGGTAGAATAAATCACCCAAGTCCAGTATCTGCCTAATGGGTCCCCAGAAACCCAACCCAAAGCAGAATCACTGTGAATTCACCTCTTCCCTTTTCCCCACAACTGTTAGGGCTTTCATTCAATGTCAAGGTTGAGGATCACACAATGAAAGAGCCCCTCTAAGCTGGGGCTGCTCCCCTGGGAGATAAGGTGGGGCTGCTCCAGAGGAGCCCCTGTACTACTTCTCTCAGCTGCTTGGGCTTCAGAAGTCCTGTCCCACAGCTTATGAGGAAGAGAAAAGCAGTGTATTCTACCCCCAGGGTGGAATGGCGACTTGCAAAACCATGCCACAGCCGGGCAGGTCTGTTACACAGTCATTCATCAAACCATTTGTCCTAAATTGCATCGTTTTTCTTCTTCAAGCTATGAAACCACAGCTAAAGTAAACTGGGGGTGGGACTGGTGACAGGAAAGGCGACCAGGCCATGCTTGGCCCGAGAACCTCTCTGCCCCAGGCAGACATGATCGGGTGCAGATGGGAGCCGGTTCAACAGTCCTTCTCACTGCCAGCCACAACTTGGGATGAAAGCTCTTCCCTCTGCTCCATGGCAGCCTGGGGCAGCAAGAGCAATGTGGGCTTGCCCCGTCCTTCTACAGAGGCAGACCACGCAAATCAAAGGGGCTGTCTAGCCTTTGATTTACAACCCCTCTTGGGGCAAAATGGACCACAGGGCTGGAGTGGGGGGTCAGGTATTCCCTTAAGGGGAGGCTTGGAGTGGGGCAGGTAAGGTAAATTATACCTAGCAATTGTCTTGTTACTATTCCTGTATTTCTCAGCTTTCCACCTAAAAATGATGGCCTTTTCTAGACACCAGGATAATGGTAACTAATTCTATACTGAATACAGACTGTATGCCAGGCACTGTGTTAGGAGCTCTGCATGTGGTACAGGCACTTTAACTCGGAGACCAGTAGGTGACTCACCAGGGTCACATATGTGGGGAAGGGTGCCAAGCTTCCAGGCACTCCCTCAAAGTGAGATAAGGTCTGGCAGAATCGCCAAGTGGCAGAGGACTTCCTGTGGGAGCGTGGGCAGGGCTGATGAGCAGGGGCCCAGACAGGCAGTTGTCAGGGTGGCCAGGCTGTGAAGCTGCCCGGCCAGTGCTCCCAGGGGAAGTGTGACTCTGACCTCGACCTTGGCAGGAGTGTGGGGAGGAGGGAGCAGATTAAATGAAGGATGGAAACAAAGCAGAGAGGAGAAGGAAAAATGGGAGCATTCCAGGCCAGAAAGAGGAGGGGGGGAGTCAACATTTGAGGAAAGAGAAACCAAAAGAGAGTGAGGATTTAGTCAAAGAGGCATGAAAATGAAATGGCAACCAGGAAGCTAGAGCCAAACTGCAGAAGCCTACAAATAATTTGCATAATAAAAGAAAAAGTAATCTTGTTGGAATTTGTGGTAGTGGCCGCCTAGTTTGGAATTGGTATCCTATAATTTACCCCATCTCCAGTGAGAACTAGTGTAAAACATTTCTAGAAGAAATAGTAAATTGCACAAGGATATATTTTAAAAAACAAGTTTTTCTAAGACCTGAAGCCTTCTGTCTTTTGTCACAGGGGGACCCAGGAAACCCGATGATGTGCCAGCTACAGCAACTGAATATGTGGGTGCTGAGAGGAATCTTGTCCCATGGTGGTGAGAATTGCCCTGGCCTATTTCTATACATCAAGGTGGAAGACTATAGCGACTGGATTATGTCCAAGACTAAGAAAACCAGCCGTCCTCTGTCTTCCTTCCACCCCTGGGAGGAACCATTTCCTTTCTCCAGCTACTCATCACATATCATCGTGACACCAAAGAAACATTCTGGGCTGGGCCAGAGTGAATGGTCCCAAGCAGACGTGCAAGAAGAAAATAAGGTCACCTTATATACATTCCCAACAAACAGCTCTACAGAGAGTCCAGACCTTGAGGAGAAAGAGTTAGGGGAATTAGGCAAGTCTTCTGCTGTGGCCGTAGATCCCACTTACTATGACTATTATGGGGAGGCTGGTAAGGGTAGTGGGCCTATTTCAGGTCAGAACAGGTTACATCAGCCCCAAGAAATTATCTTGTTTTCCTTTGTGCTTGTTTTCTTTTGCAATGATATCTAGTCTAGGAGCTAACCCTCCCAACTGAAGAGTAAGCTCAGAATGCTGAGTGTCAGGCAGCCACCATGCTGTTTTGGTGTCTGTTTTTTTTTTATAGTTGGCACACCTGGGCTGCCGCGGACAGGCCCACAGTGCATAGGGGCTGGCTCTCTCTTCTCTGTCCCACTCCCACATGCGGGAAGGTCACTTTCCTTTGTGCTTGTGAACTAAATGTGGGCTAACAAGTGTCAAACCATTAGAGTGCCCTGTGGTTCTTTCAGTGTTAACGGTTCCAGGACCCAGACTGTGCAAACACTCCCCACGGGCAAATGTGGCCAGGGAAGTGCCCGGCTGGAGAGTTGGGGACACCAAGCAGCACAGGAAACAGTAAGAGGACCCCTTGACTGGAAAGGAGCTGATTACTTTAATGGATCACTCTGGTCTGCAGCCGTGGCCTCCCTCTGGCTATTTCTCAGGGGGGCAAATTGCCTGCAACTGCTCATTGGTGGTTTTCATTTTATTCCACGCCTTGCGGTAGCCTTTTAAGGACATCTGCAAAAAAGGAAAAAGGGGGTGGGGGGGTGGGGAGAAGGTTATTTGGGAAAAAGCAATTGTGATTTTTCAGAATGCAACCGCATCTAGCCCTGCGAGGATGCAGAGGCGTCTGTGTGGGGCAGTGCCAGGCTGCAAGACTCTTCCAAAGAGCTTGTTTCTGTTCAGTGAAGTGAGAGGTTGCAGGTTCCTGCGGTCTTACTTCTCAGCTCCAAATGTGATGGGCCGAAGTTTGGATCCTAATTCACTCCCTGCCACCAAGTGGCCATGAGAAGAGCAGGAGAAAGTACTGTGGGAAAAGGAGCCTGGGTCTAGATGTGAAAACGCCAGGCTTCCAAAGTGACCTGCCTGGGTTTCTGAGCTACTCTGCTGATGTCTCCAGTGTCCTCAGTATGCAACCCGGCTTGTGGCAGTCCTGGTGCTTTCCTTTCCTTTTTTCTGACCCTTTGCATGTTTCCCGTTTCTCTTCTGCACTCACGAGGGGCTAGGGTGCTCTGAGCACACTGTATCATACAGAAAGGCTATGGGGTTATCAAAAATGAAAGACCCATGGCAACTATGTAAATGCATGGAATCGGGTTCTGAGTGGTATTAAAAATCCATTATTATCTCATTTAAAAAAAAAAACTGGCTTCTCCATGTATAAAGTATCAATCCCTAAATCACCAAATGGTGGGGGAAGGGATTCAGAAACTTCCAGAATTCATTAAGAAAACAAGCAACTAAAAACGCACAATTACTACCGAGTCTCTTCCTGATCACCTGAAAAGACCCTGTCCCTAACACTGAAAAGGGAACTTAAAAAAAAAAAAAAAGGGTATCCTTCATTTTCCTGCCAGACTTGAAGGGACTGCTGGGATTTCGCACAGACATCACGTGTCCAAACTTTGGTATTCTTAGCTTGAAAAGCAAAACCCTAGACAAGAATGTGAAGGATATAAAAGATTGCCTGTCCTGCGGTTATCTGAGACTTACCTCTGCAATCTCCACTTTCCTTTCCCACATCTTGATGGTCTTCTCCAGGTCCCCATTTAAGACCTTCTCCCGCACGTACAGCATCACCTGCGGTGTGCGGAACTCGGCCAGCTGTTTGCGGAGCTTCTGGTTCAAAGCCTTGGCCTTGGCCCGGTCCTGGGTTGGGAAGGACCTATTAAACCAAAGATCCTGGCAGTTCTGGCTTATGGGACTTACTGGCCCTGACATCTCTCTCTCCCCAGTTTCAATGTAGTTCTCAAAATAATGTTGAAATTTTCAACATGATGATTGTTTTGTTTTGTTTTTTTAACAAATGGTGATGTTTTCATCCAGCTCAGAAACACTAAGCGTGGTCTAAAACATACTTTTTTCTCTTCCGTCCTTCCTTTATTAAGGAATTTGTTTTTCCTTATTGTGATTTCTTAGGTTTGGTGGGTTTTCTGGGGGAAAACTGTGTACTTAAGAACACTTTGACCAGTCTCAACTCACTTTCCCGTCTTTTTGTAAAATATATGTAACATAAAATTTCCCATTTTGACCACTTTTAAGTGTGCAGTTCTGTGGCATTCAGTATACTCAGTGTTGTACGAGATTCACCACCATCCACCTCCACAACTTTCTTCATCTTGCAAAACTAAACCCCTGTACCCATGAAACACTGACTCCCCAGAACCCCTTCCCCTAAGTCCTGGCAACCACCCATCTACTTTCCATCTCTATCAATTTCATTCAAGTACCTCGTGTAAGTGGAATCATACAATACTTGTCCTTTTGTGACTGGCTTATTTCACCCAGTATAATGTCTTTAGTGTTTATCTGTGTTGTAGCATACGTAGCATTTCCTTCCTATTTAAGGTTGAATTATATCCCATTGTATGTATATACTACATTTTGCTTCTCCATCTGCCAATGGACACTTGGGTTGCTTCTACCCCTTGGCTATCATGAATAGTGCTGCTATGAACATGGGTGTACAAACATCTCTTCAAGTTCATGCTTTCAGTGATATTGGGTATATACCTAGTAGTAGAATTGCCAGATCAATAGTTATTCAATTGTTTGAGAAATCTGTCTTTTCAAGTTTTGTTTTTAAAATAATCATTCAGTAAAATTTAGTCTTTTTCTTTTAATTGAGTGGATTTTTTTAAGATTTTATTTATTTATTTATTTGACAGAGAGAGAGAGAGAGAGAGAGACAGCGTTGAGAGGGAACACAAGCAGGGGGAGTGGGAGAGGGAGAAGCAGGCTTCTGGCTGAGCAGGGAGCCCAATGCGGGGCTCGATCCCAGGATCCTGGGATCATGACCTGAGCCGAAGGCAGTCGCTTAACCAACTGAGCCACCCACGTGCCCCTAATTGAGTGGATTTTTTGAATTAGCAATGTCCTTCTGCTTTTTATTTTATTTTACAGATTTATTTATTTATTTTAGAGAGAGAGAGAGTACATGAGCAGGAGGGGCAGAGGGAGAGAGAGAGAATCTCAAGCAGATTCCCCACTGAGGACAAAGCCTGTCACTGGGCACTATCTCAAGGCAAGTGGGACGCTTTGCTGACTGAGCCACCCAGGCACCCCGTTTTTCATTTTAACAATTATTCTGAATAGGCAATACGTGCAATTTAAACAGTATAAAAGTATACAGTGACAATCTCCCATCCTACCCTGTCCCCAGCCACACAGTTCTTCCCAGAAGCATGCACTATTTTTAGGTTTTGAATATTCTTCTAGAGATCTACACTCATATAAACATATATATTTACCTTTTTTGTCCAAAGAGTAGCCAATGCTATTCACTTTTACTCCTCCAACTTTTTTCCCTCAATAAATATCAGCACAGCTGTATCAGCACATAAAAAACCCTCTTTTTAACAGCTGCATCATTTTCCATTGTGTAGATGTACCCTAATTTTAACAAGTCCTCACAGTCAACTCAGCTCCTCAATCTCCTGCTAGTACGATAATGCCGTGACTACTAATCTCCTGGGTGGAGTCATACTATAAATGTGCAAGTACATCAGTAGGATGAACTAGTGAGAGTGAAATTGCCTGGTCTAAGACAGTGGTTCTCAACTGGGGGGTGCAGGGGAGACAATTTTGCTCCCAGGAGACATGGCAATGTCTGGGGACATTCTTGGTTGTCACAACTAGGAGAGGGCCACTGACACCTAGTAGGTAGAGGCCAGGGATGCCACTAAACACCCTACTGGGTACAGGACAGTCCCCCACAACAAGGAATTAGCTGACCCAAAATGTCAGTGGTGTCTAGGTTGAGAAGTCCTGCCATGAGCATGTTTGGTACAGAACGCTAAATTGCCTTCTCTAACGATTAAGCCTCTGCACCAATGTCTGAGGCTGCCTGTGTTTTTGCCCATTCTCTCAACAGTCTTAACAAATTTTTTATCATTGCTAATCTAGGAGAGGGGGAAGTAGTCTCTCATTACAGTTTTATTCTGCATTCCTTATGAGTGAGGTAGAATATTTTTCATAAGTTTGAGACTTTCTGGCTTTTCTGTAAACTGTATAAATCTTTTGCCCATTTTGTCTATTTTTTTGTTAGATTTCTCCACTAATATGTAAAAGATATTTGTGTTTTAAGAAAATTTACTCTCTGTGATACTAGTCAACACATTTTTCCAGTTATTTATTTTTTGGCTTTGCATATGATGGTTTTTGCTATGCAGAAAAACTTCACTTTTATATTACCGACTTTATAAATTGATTTCGTGGTTTCTGGGTTTTATACTTCAAAAGTCCTCCCCGATCCAAGATTATAATAAAAATGACCATTTTTAAAGAATTAAAGGAACATATAATGATAATGTTTCATCAAATAGAGAACATCTATAAAGAGAAATTATTTTTAAAAAAAACAAATGGAAAATTTGGAGTATTTTCAATACAATACCTGAAATGGAAAATTCGTAAGAGGAGATCAGAGATTTAAGTCAGCAGGACAATTAGTAAACTTGAAGGCAGACTGATGGAGATCATGCAATATGGAAAACACAGAGAAAAAAGAAGAAAAATTCAGTCTCAGAGAAATATGTGGAACACTACTAAGTGTACCAACATTCACGTAATGGAAGTAACAGAAGGAGAGAAGAAAGAGAAAGGAAAATATGTTCAAGGAAATAATGGTTGAAAACTTCCAAAATCTGATGAAAAATATTATTTTAATGAAAAATAATAAGCCACACATCCAAGAAGCTCAACAACCTCTGAATAGGAAACTGGAAAGAAATCCACACCCAGCTACATCATACCCAAAATGTTGAATGACAGGCAAAGAGAAAATATCAAAAGCAGTGAGAAAACAATGTATTACATTCAAGGGAAACCAAATAAGAGCAATAGCTGACTTCTCATCAGAAACAATGGAGGCCAGAAGGCAGTGGGATGACATATTCTAAGGGTTCAAAGAAAAAAAAAAAACCTGTCAAACAAGAATCTTCTAAAAAAACAAACAAGAATCTTCTATCCAGCAAAACTATCTTTCAAAAATGAAAGCAAACAATGAGCACACTCAAATTTTGGTTTCTAATTCTATTCTCAAATAAAAGGAACCAGGGCTCCTTGGAGAAATGGCTAATTCTAGGGCTGGAGCAGGACATATAGGAGATGAGTCTCAAGCATTTTCTTGTGCCAGAAAAAGTGTTCACACATGCACACACACACACACAAATGGGATATGTCGAAGGGACACAGAAGCCAACTGAAAGAGCTCCCAATGCCCAAGGTGAAACAATGTGAGTAATAAAACAAATAATATTAGATTATAACCCAACATATAAAATTAATATCCATGCTCACTTCAACAACACATGTACTAAAATATCCATGAATTG